ACAAAGAGGTTTCCTCTCTAGGAACCTGTCCTCCCTCCCAGGGTTGGGGGTAGCCAAGGTAAGTCCCAGTGCCCACAGTCTAGGCTAGGGCAAAGCTGGGAGGGAGCCCCCAGGAGGTATGGGACATCTCTATACCTGACAGAATCTCCGCAGGGCTCGCTGGTTGGTCAGTTTATACTTCCAGGTAAGATACCAGCTTCGCTTCTTCCGAGCCCCAAAGGGCTTGATGAGGGAGCTGGGCTTCCAGTCGTCCATGCCGGATTGGGGAGTCACCACTGTCCTGGCCAACCCATGCCTCCAGGAATCTGAGAGGACCAGAGGGTCATATGGAGTAAGGTGTTCCTCCCAAAGTCTGATCCCTTCTAGGAAGACCAGGGCGGACCTCCCAGCAACGGCTTCCCTGCAGACATCCACGCTGTGGAAAAGTGGCTCAACTGCTCCGGAGAGGAAACCTTCAGAAGGGTCAGATCACCTGGAAACTCCCCTGGGGCTGGGGCAACTGACAGAGCTGCTCGGGGACAACCCCCCCCCCCCCGGAGAAGGGGCCAAATAATCGGCTCTCAAGGTTTATCAGCTCCTAAAGGGGCCAAGCTCCAGGCCCTCCTAGTCCTGGGGTGGGCAAAGGGCAGACACAACCCCCTTCCCCAGCCCCCAATCCTCCACTCCCTTGTGCCCTCTCCTATCTGGCCCCGTTCCTCTCCTCCCAGGGCTCGGGGCCGCCCGAGGACTCGGGAGACCTACCCCGGCCGCGCCACCCCTCCCGGACTCCCTCCCAGAAGGACTCACGGCTCAGGGGGCCCGGGCCCCGCTCGGGCCCCTCTCGGGCCCGCACTGCTCAGCCCGGCGCGCTGCGGCCTCCGCCTCCTCCATGCCGCTCGCGGCCCCGCCCCGGCCCGGCCCGGCCCGCCTCCCCGCTTCCGCCGCCGCCGCCGCGGGGTGAGAGGGCGGCGGGCGGCGCTTAGGGCGGCGGCGGCCGCCGCGGTGGCGAGTGTCGGCAGCCCGCGAGTACTGCGAGTACTCAGCGCACCCCCCCACCTCCCCGCCTCGCCCCGGCTGCTTCGCAACTGGCGGGCGGGGTGGCTGCTGGGGGAGAGCAGATCCGACCCCCCCCCCCCGACGACTTGGCCCCCAGCATCGCCGATGACAAACTTGATTCAAGTCGGAGTCCTAGAGCTTTGGACTAGATCATTCCAGATGCCAGGGTCAGGCCTCGGACACAGCTACCCGCTCCCCTTGCTTGGGCAAGGCTGCACCCAAGTCTAGGTTATGCAGGCCTAGGGTATGCCTTTAGAGGCTAAGGAGAATTAAAACACACACAACCCAAAACCTTGAGCAAGTCACTGCACGTTTCAGCCTAGGTTCCCTCATCTGTGAAATGGGGGCATGCTTGTATGATACTTACTGTATGCCAGTCACTGCTCCAAGCACTTTACTTCCATCAGTTCATTTAATTCCACAATCCCATGGGGTAGGTGCTATTACTAATGCCCAATGTCCAAAGCTGGGAGAGCCAGAATTCAAATCCAGGCATCCCAGCTCCAGATTCCACTCTCAACCCCCGCCCTATACAGACAAGAACAATAGAGTTGTTGTGAAGGTTTAATGAGGTAATACATATAAAGCACTTAGCTTAACACGGTAATTCTCAGACTTTGCCTTGCATCAGAAACACTTGGAGGGTGTCTTAAAACACAAATTGCTGGTTCCCATTCTAAGAGTTTTTGGTTCATAGTCTGGGGTAGAGCAGAATACTGCATTTCTAACAAGTTCCTAGGTGATGGAGATGCTTGTTTGAAGTGAATGGGTAGCCATGGAAGTTGTAAGCAGAGGACCATATAGTCCTATTTAAGAGAACCTTTACTGTTTTGTGGAGAATGTTTCAAAAGGAAGTGGAGAAAACCAGACCAGTTAGATTTTTTTTTGACCTCTCCATATTCCACCTGCTTCCTAAATGGTGGGATGGTATACCCCACAAATGTTAACAGTACTTATCTTAGAAGCTGAGGTAATAGGTAATTTTTCCTAATAAGTATGTATTAGAGAACAGAAGAAAATACAACACATTTATTAGCATTTGAAAAAGATGTCCTCAGGGCTCCTCCCTGGTCCTCACTCCTCAGTCTCACTTTTCTTTTTTTTTTTTTTAATTTCTTTTTATTTTTTAAAAATGTTTTTATTTATTTCTGAGAAAGAGAGAGAGATTGAGAGAGAGAATGACAGTGTGAGCAGGGGAGGGTCAGGGAGAGAGGGAGATACAGAATCCAAAGCAGGCTCCAGGCTCTGAGCTAGCTGTCAGCACAGAGCCCAACGCGGGGCTCGAACCCATGAGCTGTGAGATCATGACCTGAGCCAGCCCACGAAACGTGAGATCATGACCTGAGCCGAAGTCGGATGCTTAACCGACTGAGCCACCCAGGTGCCCCTGTTACCACCTAGATTCTTCTACTCATATCTGCAGTCCTAATATTTCTCCTGAGCTCCAGGCTGACCTGTATCCAACTGCCTGCTGGACATCTTCACAGGCCCCTCCAACTCAATGTAACCCCTGCTGTAATCATCTCTTCCCACTCCTAGATCTCTTTTGGGGTTCCCTTCCTTGGTGAATGGCATCAGGAACAGCTGGGAGTCATTCTTTATTCCTCATCTCCAACAACCAGTCAAGGTCTCTTTGCTCACCAGCGTACTCTCTGCACCACACACATGGCTAGCAAATGGGAGACACGCCATGACATTTATTGAAATCACTTGTTTCCTGAGCAAATACTCATGAATGCCACTATAAATAAGTAAATGTAACCAGTCACCAAGTCTTGTCAATCTTACCTTCTTAAGAGTCCTCCATTATGGTCTAACCCTTCTCCAATTTCACAACCAGCCCCTCCCTGGTCCAGCCCATTTCAGTTTCTTCCCTTCCAACCAGTTTCCTTGACTCCAGATTTGTACCCCTCCAATCCTTTCTCCTTGCAAAATCCAGAGCAATTTTTCAAAAAGGCAAATCTGTTTTTTAACCTCTGATTTAAAACTCTTCTGTGGATCAACAGATACCAAGGAAAAATACATTACTTAAGGTTACAAAGGTAACCATTAGATGACCTAAAAATAGTGATAGAAATGCATAGGTTTGATGGAAGAAGGGAAGTACAGAGTATGACATAAATCTATATTTATCATAATAGGAACTCAGCAGATTATATTTAAAATTAATAAATAGTAGTACCATATAAGCATATGTAGAGTTATGTGTATAAACACCAAAAAAAAAAAAAATAGCTGAACATCATTGTCCTTGGGGAGAGGGCTAGAGGTGGGAAAAGATAGAGCAGGGTTTACATTGTAAATCCTTCTGTGACCATGGGCTGAAATAATTTGGATTAAAAACCCATATCAAGCCAAAACAAAACAAAACAAAACAAACGGTTTCATAGCTCCTTATTGCTTATAAAATATAATATAATCCAGGCACCATAGAACTATCTTCTATAACCTTGTTACTCAGCACGGCCATCACCTGGGAGCTTGTTAAAAAAGAATCTCAGACCCCTATCCCAGATCTACAGAATTACAATCTGCATTTTAACAAGATATGCAGATAACTCACATGTGCAGGGGTACCTGGGTGGCTCAGTCTGTTAAGCATCCGGCTTTGGCTCAGGTCATGATCTCACAGTTTGTGGGTTTGAGCCCCGCGTTGGGCTCTGTGCTGACAGCTCAGAGCCTGGAGCCTGCTTCAGATTCTGTGTCTCCCTCTCTTTCTGACCCTCCCCTGCTCTCTCTCTCTCTCAGAAATAAATAAAACATTAAAAAAATTTTTTTAATTAAAAAAATAATTCACATGTGCAGTCAAGCTTAAGAAGCATTAGTCTGGGGTGCGTGGGTGGCTAAGTTGGTTAAGCATCTGACTTCGGCTTAGGTCGGGTCATGATCTCAGGGTCAGATTTTGTGTCTCCCTCTCTTTCTCTGCCCCTCCCCAGCTTGTACTCTGACTCTCTCTCAAAAATAAATAAACATTAAAAAAAAAAAAGGAAGAAGAAGCATCAGTCTACAGGATCAAGCATAATCTGGCCCATGTGGACTTTTTCACCTTCAATACTGATTGCTTCTCATTGACCAAAAGAACATTACTTTTTTTTTTAAGTTTGTTTGTTAATTATTTATTTAGAGAGCAAGCAGGGGAGGGGCAGAGAGAAAGGGAGCGACAGAGAATCCCAAGCAGGCTCCACACTGTCAGCACAGAGCCTGATGTGGGGCTTGAACAAACAAAACATGAGATCATGACCTGAGCCTAAACCGAGTCCCTTGCTTAACCAACTGAGCCACAAGGCACAGAATGGTACTTTCTATTTCTATAACCTAAACTCAGTGGCTGGGGATGGGGTGGGGGTTGGGAGTGCCTGACTGACTCAGTTGGAAGAGCTTGCAACTCTTGATCTTCCTCCCAGTTCTGAGTCTGAACTCCACGTTGGATGTAGAGAATACTTACAAACAAACAAACAAAGAAACTAAAAAAAAAACTTCAATGGCTACACTGAAAGTGGTGTGTGTGTGTGTGTGTGTGTGTGTGTGTGTGTGAGTAACTAGCTAAATTCTAACCACTGTTTTAGACCCAGCCCCTCTACTCCAGGAAGTTTTTCAAAAACCTTTGCAGCTCTCTTAAACTCCCATGTTCCTAACTGAGTATGCTTATTTAGCTTTTGTTCTGCAACACTTATGGGGCGCCTGCTGTGTGCCTGGCTGGATTCAGTTGGAAGAGTGGGCAGAAGGCACTGAACTCTTCTAGCGCTCTTTCCAGTACAAATCCAAGTACAAATCGCTGATCCCCACCCATTCCAGGGCCAGACGTTCAGACGTTGTGTGCAACACACACACACACACACACACACACACACACACACAGAGCTCTGCGCTGCTTTTCTGAGTGTTACGGCGCCCTCCGCCCGCCCCCGCGCGGCGCGGGCGGGGACCCACCGGTTCCGCTTAGCGCTAGCTGCGGAGAAAGGAGGACCCCTGGGAACAAGATCCCGCAGTCCGGTCGCCCAGCACTCTTCAGCGGTAGGCCCACATGGAGGGGACTGCGGAGTCCCAATCGCCTGACCTTCGAGACGTGGAAGGCAAGGTGGGCAGGAAGACCCCTGAAGGGCTGCTCCGCGGGCTGCGAGGCGAACGGGAGCCAGGAACCTCTGGCGCCCTGCTGCTCTCGGGGGCGCCTAGCATGGGCCACGGCCTGGGGGACAAGATCATGGCGCTGAGGATGGAGCTGGTGAGTGTGGGCTCCATGGGCCAGGGGGATGGGGTCCCCAGCCAGGGCTGGAAGGGACAGACTTATGCAGAGTTCGGCAGGAGAGCAGAGCATTACAACTCCCCACCTTACTCCTCAGGGTACCTCCCAGATCAATCCTTAAACCCTGGGATCCATTTTTTTTGCCTCTCCCAAGGGTAAGTGGGGCACTAACGGGGCCTGAAGACTTGAGGTGGGAGGCACGGGCTCTAGGAAGTTTTTCCTGCCAAATAATTGGGAGGGGGGAGGTGAGGACTGGGAAGCACTGAGAACCTAGCACAGCACAAATCTCCCCTCACCCCACCCCTCTACCAGGTGCCCTTGCCACCATTAAAAGGCAGCCAATTTCTTCTCCTCCCGAAAACTGGGCTCCCCAGGATTGCTCCTCTGAGGCCTCAGTGTCCCTGACAGGATTTAGCACAGAAGAGATCTGGGTGAAAACCTCCTGGACTAGAGCCACCAGAGACATCCTCCTCCCTTCCTGCAATGTTCCCCCACTCTCACTTAAAATATTTGGAAGTTCCTAGAACCTGAGCAGTCAGAGTAGCAGCACCATCAGCATTGGCTCCATCACCTCCGAGCCCCCCAAATATACTGGATATTTATATTTTATCTGTAACTACTTGGGGAGAAAAGAAAACAGGCACCCTTCCCCTCCCCTGTTACTTCTGGTCTAGATTCAGAGCCAGAAGGGCATCTGGGGCTGCCTAGGCTCCCCAAGGCGCTGGTTCCAGTGAAGGGGGTGATTCACACCTGCCACCACTTGGCAGCCAGTTCTAGGGAACCAAAGAATTCTCTCTGGCTTAGAACCAGGAGGCCACAGTGAGTGTGTCAGCTAATAGGTCTTTCTGGAGCCCTACCCTCTGCCCAGTTCTGTGCCAGGCTGGGCTATGAGAGAGCAGAGAAGGAGGGCATGGGGGCTCCTAGTCAGCCTGAAAGGCTGAGAGGAGAGCCTTGTGGGCAGAGTAATCAGGTAAGGCTTCCTGGGGGAAGGATTCGAATGCCATGTGTGCACTTGGCCCTGAAGGTTTAAGTTGAGTGCCAAATTCTTCAGAGCAGGGCTGTGACTGCCCACCGAAGGGAGGGACTCGACTTTGCCTCATTGTACAAAGTGGTGCCAGGCATGATGTTGAGCACTTTACAAAATTTTAACTTAATCCTCACAGTAACCCTATCTGGCAAGTGATATTTTATAGGTGATATTTTATAAGAAACTGAGGCACAGAGAGGCTAAATAACTGCGCAAGTTCATACAAAAAGTAAAATGCAGAGCCAGGCTTTGAATCCAGATGATGTGCCTGCACTTTACATTTTTACCATTGAGATCTGCTTTGTGCCAGACACTTTAAAGACATTTTACGTCATCAAAGTGAGAAGAGCAGCCATCATTCCCCGATAGCACGGATGAAGCACACTTGCAGGTGTGCAGGGACTCGCCTGGGCTCACACATGAGCCAGTGGTGGAGCCATGCCTCCTCCCTGGCTCGAACTCTTCTGCCTCTGATGGAGAGTACCTGTTTGTAAACTTTAAGGGGGTGCATTTAACTTCTGATCAGGTCTCTGCATTCTTTTTTTTTTTTTAATGTTTATTTTTGAGAGAGAGAGAGAGACAGGGTGTGAGTGGGGGAGGGGCAGAGAGAGAGAGAGAGAGAGACAGAATCTGAAGCAGGCTCCAGACTCTGAGCTGTCAGCACAGAGCCCAACTCAGATCATGACCTGAGCCTAAGTTGGAGCTTAACTGACTCAGCCACCCAAGAGTCCCAGGTGTCTGCATTCTTGACCCAGCCTGGTCTGGGACCCTCGACTACCCATTAAAGGCACAAAGGAGGGTCCTTGCTTAGGGGCCAGAACAGTGAAAGGCTAACTACCTACCCCATTCCTTTCTTTCTCCTTGGCCAAGGTGTCATTGGTATCTCTGTGTACTCTGCCCTTCCCACTGGGTTGCACCCAGGGAGGACGGGGCAGGGCAGGGGGGTTTCCCTTGGAGCCACTGGTGGCAGAACTGGTCCAAGCCTAAGCACTGTCCTTCAACAGGGCAATCCTGGAGGGAGGGGGCGGGCCTGCTCTTGAGGCCAAGGTTATTCCTGCTTCTAGGTTCCTTTCCTCTTGGTTCCCTCCCCCTCTCACAGGTTGAGTGAACCAGCCAGACTCTGGGATTGTGGGAAAGGGAAACAATAGCAGCCTCCCCTACTTCATCCGCCCACCCAAAGCATTGTTGCTGTGACAACCCGCCCCCACAGAGCAGCTTGAGAAAAAGCTTTAGGCTAGGAGAGGGAAGACCTGGGTTCAAGTCCTGACTCAGCTCCTGAATCATTTTGAGATCTTGAGCAGGGCCCTGACTCTCTGTTGGCCTCAGTTTTTCTGCCACTTGGAAGACGAGGGCACAGGGGCTTGTGGAACCGTATAGTCCTAGTAAAAATAGTCTTGAGAATCTCAGTTCGTGGCCAGGAGCTGGGCCTGGAATCTCCAGGCTTTACCCCAGGGCCTGATTTGGATTGAGTGATGAGGGAGCCATGCTTATGACCCCCAGGGCTGTGCAGAGAGTCTAATATGTATGTGTTAAGTGGGGCAGTGGGGGACCTGAATCCCCCTGGGAAGAGAATTGGGTTGGGGTGGCCTTTGAGGCTGCATCTCTCTGAGCTATTTATACCTTTCAGTTTCCAAAGAGATGGTGTGGAATGAGTGTTTCTTTTTCTGGCAAGAAAGCCTTGCTTTTTTCTATTCTGAGGAATGATGCTGTCAGAGTCAGGGAATCCCACTGTCACAGGACTATAGAATCTAGTCCTCAGATTCATTTTTCACCAACATGGTAAAACCCAACCCCCTGAATACTGGAGATCACCAGAGGGGCCAAGGATGGTAAAGGGAAGAGAATCACAAAGCCTAATTTGACCTATCCAACCTAGGCTAAGTACCATAAATGAACGATGCAGAACCTACTCTCAGGGAGTTCACAGACTGAGTTCACAGGAAGGAGGGACACAGACTAATAACTTTGGTATTGGATGATAAGTATCATTGGAACCCAGCATGGGCTTCCTGGTAGAGTTTTCATTAAGGAGTGACATGGTCAGATTCATACTCTGGAAAGGCCCCCTTTTTTAAAAAAAAAAAAAAAAAAGATTTTATTTTTAAGTAATCTCTATACCCATCATGGTGCTTGAACCCTCAACCCTGAGATCAAGAATTATACACTCTACTGACTGAGCCAGCCAGACACCCCTGGAAAGGCCACTTTGAATTGGAGGGGTTACATGCTATTTCCTCTGGTTGGAATGCCTCTCTCCACTGCTTAGTCTGGCTACTTAACCTTAATGTCTTAATCCTACTTAACCTTAATGTCTCAGCTCATGTGCCTTATTCTAGGAAGCATTTTCTTACTTCCTTTGTTGGGTTATGGGCCTCTAGGTACCCATGGTCCTCTGTGTAGCAGTTGTTTCCCCTAGCATTTGCCACATTGAATTTTCAGTGCTTGTATTATTGTCTTATCCTAACCATAGATTGTGAACTCTCTGAGGCTGAGAGCCTTCCTTTAGCACAATGCAATGCCTATGAGAACACCTAGTAAATATTGTTTCATAACTGAATGGATTAATTATATTTTGAGGAAGAGCAGGGAAGACTTCCTAGAGGAGGTGGCATTTGAGGCTGGGGCTTGAAGAATGAATAAAGTTGGTAGGAATTCCAATTCAAGATGGCAGATTGAACACAATGCATTTACTTCTATTTCCTTCTGAAACTCACTAAAAACCCAGTAGAAGGATTATTTTAAAAGCTGTGAAACCATTATGACAACAAAAATAGGAGAGAAGATGATAGGAATAAAATTTTGGAAGCTAAAAAGCAGAAGAAAGACTTGTAACTTAGTAGACCTGAAAAAAAAGCTGAATTTCAAGCCAGCAGCAAGGAAAGCTACAAAGCAGCACGCTTTGCACTACAGAAACCCTCAAAGGTCTCAGGAGCTGGAAGCACCAGGTATTTCTGGAACTAGGGGCACAAGTGAAACGGAAAACAAAAGGGTTTGCGAATGTCTGTTTAAGAATCATATTCTTCTAAGATCCTCTCCCTAACTGAGCAACTAGGTACCAGCCACTTCTTTATCCTAACAGAAGATTGGAGATGTAAGTTTTGGAAAAGAATAGTACAGACGGAAGGGAAGAAGGGGAAGGAAGGAGAGAATAAAGGAAGGAAGGAGAAATTATAGCAGGAGAAACATTTTTAGTATGAGAAGTTTTATTTAATACATCTAGTTTGGATTTGGACTAGGGCTGTTGGTTTCACTGTTAACTTCTTTTTCTCCAGTATGAAAGAATTGAACATAATCTTTTTTATCACATGTCATTGATAATCTGTATAGTCTGTGGTATTTCAGTTGTTCATGTTCATATCTCTTTTTTAATAATTGTTTTAATGTTCATTTATTTCTGAGAGACAGAGACAGACAGTGGATGAGCAGGGGAGGGGCAAAGAGAGGGAGACACAGAAGCCGAAGCAGGCTCCAGTCTCTGAGGTGTCAGCACAGAGCCTGAAGTAGGGCTTGAACTCACAGACCATGAGATCATGACCTGAGCTGAAGTTGGATGCTTAACCGACTGAGCCACCCAGGTGCCCCTGTTCATACCTCCTTACTGAAACTGCAAATTTCTGTCAAGTAGGGATAGTTTCTCCATTATCTTTGTAAATCATTAGACAACTCAGGTACCAAATAACCACCTGTTTCATTGAATTAGAGCTGTGATATTATTCCAAAGTCACAAATAATTTCAGGTACAGAATTTTGTTCTGTGCTTATGCCATGGTAAATAAGTTTATCATAGTAATATATAAAGCCAAATAGCTACAATTTATGAACTAATGGTTGCCAGGCAGTATCCTGTGCATGTTAATACATCCCTTCCATTTATTTTTATTTTTTAAATGTTTATTTATTAACATAATCAGAGAGACCAAGAGGGGGAGGGGCAGAGAGAGAGGAAGAGAAAATCCCAATCAGGCTCTCTGTTCAGCACAGAGCCCAGCATGGGTGATCTCATGAACCATGAGATCATGACCTGGGCTGAAATCAAGAGTCAGACACTTAACCAACTGAGCCACCCAGGGGTCCCCTTACATTTTTTAAAATGAACTTTTAAATTAGATAGTGTCCTTGGGGCACCTGTCTGGCTCAATTGGTAGGGCATGTATGTGACTCTTGATCTCAGGGTCGTGAGTTTAAGCCCCACCCATGTTGGGTGCGGAGACTTCTTAGTTAAAAATAAAAAGTTAATTAATTAATTAAAATTTAAAAAATAGTATCCTCATTTTACAATGAAGAAATGAAGGTTTAAAGCGGGGGGGAAAAATTCCAAAATCATATGGCTCATTAATGGCATAACTGGAATTTGAATCCAGATCTGTTTAATTCCCGTGCCTATATTTTTCTCAGTGTACAAATGCTTGGTTATATTTGGGTTTATCATTCTAGGTGTAAAACAATCATTTGCTGAACAATTCAATAAACATTTATCAATTGATATATATTTAAAAACAGACTAGAAGCAAAGGTCTCTAGGTTGAGAGACAATACGCAAAGTTGAGGGCAAAAGGGACTAAGTAAAAATGTACTAAATGTCATGCTGTACCCTTCCAGCATTTCCTCCTACTTGGCAGCTTTCCTTATATTATATTCCCAAGATGTGTATAATATGGGGAATACAGCGAACCCAAGAGAAAGTGACTCAGGGCTAACCCGGAGAGCCCTGCCAGATAATTCCTAGTTTGCAATCAGCTTTTTAGAGACCACTCTGAAGCATGAGCAGCTCCTAAAAGCTACAAGACATCTGATAAGACCCTCTAACTGTGCAGACATAAATAGAAAAAAGCATCTTGAATGAAATGGAGATAATATTGGAAGATGAGAACTTATAAAAAAATCATTAATTATGTCCCTAAAAAGATAAGAGATAATATTGCAGCTATATCAGGAAGCTTATAAAAAGGAAAACTTTCAGAGAACCAGAACAACTCTTAGAAATAAAAACAAGATAGGAAAATATGAAAAATTCAGTAGAAGGGTTGATAATGTTGAAATATTTCAGAAATTAGAACAAATATAGAAAAAGATGGAAGAGGAAAAATAAAAAGGATCCGTCCAGGACACCCTCTATTCAAATAATAGGATTTCCAGAAAAAAACATAAAAATAGTGAAGGAGAAATAATCATGAAAGAAATAAGAAAAATCTCTCAGAACTGAAGGAGATGAGTCTTTAGATTCAAAGGGCCCAACAAGTGGCCAATTCAATGGATGAAAATAGACCCCCACTGTGGCAAATTATTGGGATAATTTAAAACATTGGGAACAGGAGCGCCTGGGCAGCTCAGTTGGTTCAGCATACAACTCTTGATTTCAGCTCAGGTCATGATCTCACAGTTCATGGGATCAAGCCCCACATTAGGCTCTGTACTAGCAGCATGGAGCCTACTTAGGATTCTCTCTATCCCTCTCTCTCTGCCCCTCCCTGGCTCATACTCCCTTTCTCTGAAAATAAATAAATAAATAAACTTAAAAACAATAAATAAAAATTTAAAAAAAAAAGAATACTGGGAACAAAGAGAGGATCCTAAAAACTTCCAGAAAGAATAGGAATATGGACACATACAAACAACCAGGAATCATAATGACATCGTACTTTTTAAGTTCAACACTTGAAATTAAAAGACAATGGAACAATGCCTTATATCCTGAGGAAAAATTATTTTCAACCTAGAATTCTATACGCATCCCGTGTCTACACTGTGAGTGTCTTCACTACATGTGAAGCTTCAACAAATGTACCTCCTATGTAGACTTTCACAGGAAGCTACTGGAGTAAAAGCACCACACATATAATAAAGGAATAAATCAAGAAAGAAAAAGACATAATGGGATCCAGGAAACAAGGGATCCAACTCAGGAAAGAGGCAAAGGGAGTCCCTAAGATGATAGCCCTGGAGGATAGTTGTGCAGCAGGTACAGATAGGGGCAGATCAGAAGGCTCCTGGGGCACCTGGTGGCTCAACTGATTAAACATCCCACTCTGATTTCAGCTCAGATCATGATCTCACAGTTCATGAGTTTGAGCCCCGTGTTGGGATTCTCTGTCTCCCTTTCTCTCTTCCCCTCCCCAACTTGCTCATGCTCTCTCTCTCTCAAAAATAAATAAATAGGGGCATCTGGGTGGCTTAGTCGGTTAAACAGCCAACTTCAGCTCTGGTCATGATCTCACAGTCTGTGGGTTCAAGTACTACTTTGGGTTCTGTGCTGACAGTTTGGAGCCTGGAGCTTCTTCGGATTCTGTGTCTCCCTCTTTCTCTGTCCCTCTTCGACTCACACTCGGTCTCTCTTTCTTTCAAAAATAAATAAACATTGGGGCACCTGCATGGCTCAGTCGGTTAAATATCCGACTTTGGCTCAGGTCATGATCTCACGGTTCGTGGGTTTGAGCCCCACGTTGGGCTCTGTGCTGACAGCTAGCTCAGAGCCTGGAGTCTGTTTCGGATTGTGTCTCCTTCTCTCTCTGACCCTCCCCTGCTCATGCTATCTCTCTCTCAGAAATAAAACATTAAAAATATATATATAAATAAACATTAAAAGTTTTTTTCTAAATAATAAACATTAAAAATTTTATATATGAAAAAGAAGCCTCCTGAAGAGCTGCCTCTAAGAACATGGAATAGAGAGTAGATGTGATAGGTTTAAAAGCCTTGAAAGGAAAATTCAGACAATTGGGAGAGGGTTTGGGGATGACTTACTGATGATTATATAGCAAACTAAGCAAAAGAGTAGTAGTGGTAATGTATGTAGTAGTAATAATATAATAATGTAATAATTATATATGATGATATATATCATTTATTATTATTCTAAGGCATAATTATAATAATTATTATTCTAAGGAAAACATGAACAAGTGGGAAGTAACCATAGTAAACTGTACAACTTAGCTGTGAATAGCATTTCCAAATCCTAATAAGGTAAATAGTGAATAACTCATTTTATTGCATATGTTGGAAAAGAAGAAAGGTGTCTGTATGGCAGAGGAATGGGGAGTAGGATGAAAGAGTTAAATCCTTAACCTTCTATCGTATGGGAAGGCAATAGAAAACACCTAAAACTTAAAAGTCAGTAAGTAGCGTGTTATTTGGAGATTAGAAGGTAAATACCAAAATAAAAAGCTAAAAAATGAATAATAGTTGTCTCTGGGAAGAGGGATTTCGGATAGGATGGGGCACTATTACTTTCATGATAAATCTCACAGAACTCTTTGCCTCTTTAATCTATGTGCCTCCATTACTTTACTTAAAATGAAAATTAAATAAAATGAAATCAGAAAGTCCTGTGTGACAGGATGGGCGTGGGGGACTCCCAGGATGTATGCTGAAAGCGAAGCTGGAGAGACAGGCACTGCACTTACCATGACAGCTTTTGAATGCCTGCTGCTAAAATACTTAGATTTTATTTTCTAAGAGCAGTGCAAAACCCAGACAGGTTCTTGAGCAAGGGGGGACAGATTCAGACTTGTGTTTGGGGAAGATAACTTAGGGCATCTGAGGTGGGAAGGACCCTAGAGATTACCCAGGAAGTCAGATTTACTCCCAGTAAATCTGGGAAACTGGTGTGCGGTGAAGAGAAGGCCTGCATCCCTAGCCAACAGGATCCTGACCCTTTGAGCAATTGCTACCAACACCCTGAAGTGACTGGGGGGCCAAGTTAACTTCATCTTTATTCCCCAGCTCCTGCCTCCTTTTGGCCCAGTCTGCTTAACTAATTAACACCAGAGTCCCTATCAGGCTATTCTTTGAATCTGGACTGGTTCAATAGTTAACGCCCTGTCTATGAAGTTCAAAGCTCAGTGGGATCAGATTTCAATACTAAACATTTACTGAGACCTTACTCTGTGTCAGGCACTGTATTGAGTACTTAAAAAAATTTTTTTTAGTGTTTATTTATTTTTGAAAGAGAGAGAGAGACAGTATGAGTGGGGGAGGGACAGAGGGAGAGAGAGACACAGAATCTGAAGCAGGCTCCAGGCTCTGAGCTGTTAGTACAGAGCCTGATGTGGGTCTTGAACTCACAAACCATGAGATCATGACCTGAGCTGAAGTCAGATACTTAACTGACTGAGCCACCCAGGTGGCCCCAGAACTGAGATTTTAAACTGCAATCTGTCTGCTTCTAAAGCCCACACTCTAAACCAACCATGCTTCTATTCCCATGCTTCTTGAAATTGAAGCATGGTTGGTTGGACCACAAAGTAGAGCCTCTGGAAACATTTGAGAAATACATGGCTCAGAAGCTTAGACTGATTCTTCTCCTACCCCCCCAGGCTTACCTGCGAGCCATCGATGTGAAGATCCTGCAGCAGTTGGTGACTTTGAATGAGGGCATCGAGGCTGTGCGCTGGCTGTTGGAGGAGCGGGGGACATTGACCAGCCACTGCAGCAGCCTTACCAGCAGCCAATATAGCCTGACAGGCGGGAGTCCAGGCCGCTCAAGGCGAGGCAGCTGGGACAGCCTGCCAGACACCAGTGCTACTGACCGGCTGGACAGTGTCTCCATTGGCAGTTTCCTAGACACAGTGGCCCCCAGCGAGATGGATGAACAGGGGCCCCCTGGGGGTCCCCGTCCTGAGATGGACTGGGCAAAGGTTATACCCAGTGGGGACAGGGCCAGGACTGAGGTGGACCTGACGGCCACCAGGCTAGGGAACTTGAGGGCTGTATGGAAGCCCCCAGGGGAGGGGCTCCAAGGTGGACCTCCTGAACCAGTAGAGGATGAAAGTGCTAAGCTGGGCTTTGAGGCCCACTGGTATTGGGGGCAGTGCCAGGATGATGTGACCTTCTTGTAATAACTTTCCCATCCTTTTGTATTTCTACGGCTCTTTCATCACTAGGCCCTGGTATGTCTAGAAATTTATTCTCCCTCATTCTGGGTCTAGGAAGAGGCTGCATTGAAATCCAGTTACCGTGGAAACCTGGCCTTACCAATCTTCGGTCCCTGAAGAAGGTCTGCCTTTATCTTTCAATTATTGGGACCCTATAGCTATTTACATAGATACAATGACTAGAGGCTTGACCCATTGCTTCTGGTGTGATAGTATCTCTTTCCCTTCCCCCTACAGCTACTTAAGGATTTGAGAGATTTAGGATCTCTAGGAGATAACTGATGAAGAGATGGGGATGTAATTACCTCACCCAACATCTAGGAGTCTTGCCCCACTCTTAGCCAAGATGGAGAATTGTGAAGGGACATGGACATTCAGGGCCAACCTTCCATGGATTGGCCCTCCCAGAAGCCTCTGAGGTTGGTAGAAGCATCCCTTCCTGTCTGGTGAGTGATGTCATTTCCTGTCAGGATGGAATAGACTTTCCTCTGTACCAGTCTCTTAGTGGTAATAGGTCAGTATATGGGTGTCTGATCCCCTGCTGCTAAGTGAGATAGTACCATTTATTCTCCGTTACTTACCATTACTTCTTGCGAGGGGGATCATATCACCCCTCCTGGTAGGAAAACTTCTCACTGTCAGATGTTTGTGCTTCTTTTCAGAAAGGTTATTACTTTTTAAATAGGTTGCTTTCATTTTGTTCTAGAGGGTCTCACTTCCTCTATGACCGCATTCTTATCTGATGCCGGGACTCCTACATCTGTGCTTTTAGGGAGGGAAATGCAGGGGCTTCTACCCACAAAAGTTTGTTTGGCCTGCCCTGCCACAGTCCCGTCTTACTTCTTCCCTGGGTTGCCCCCATTCTTGTGTCCTGGCTCCAAGTCAGTCTGCCAGGAGGTTCAGCCTTTGTGTCTCCACACCTTCTCAGTTTCCATTTCCACTTCTTTGGGGCCTCTGGCCTTTTATATGTAGATGAGTCCCCCATCCAACCCCCTCTTTACCCATTGCTGATGGGAATCAGAGGGAGAAGAAGCTTGAAGAGCTCTGGGCATGTACATAATTTCCAAAGAGAGGAGGTGTCTTCTCTGATCCCATGATCTCCTTCCCCCACCCTGCCCCGGACCTGCCACCATTTGGTCACAAGGACGCCTGCCAGAGGCTGAGACACAAGAAATCCCCTTGTCTGGGTTACAATGGGAGTGTGGGGGTGTGGCAGGGAAAGACAGAGGCTCTTTGGTCCTAGGGCCCACATCCTAGGATGGGGGAGAGATTGAGGGGAAGGCTGCTTTCCTTCCTCCCTTAGAGCAAGCCCGAGACCCCAGGGACCTGAGGACGGAGCAGGGGACTGGCTCTGGGCCTGGGTCCTAGGGCCCTTGTGAATTACAGCAAAGAAGGAATTCAAGGAAGCTGCCAACCTGGGCCCAAGGAGGGAACAAGTGGGGGGGGAGGTGGCAGGAGGGGGGTGGTGTGTGAAAGGAGGGCTGTGGCTGATGTCAGAGAATGAATTCTTCGAGATTAACCCTATGAACCCCAGCTAACTGCCTATATGTTGGTCCTTGTCTTTCCTGGGGCCTGAAACTAATCATTGGAAGGCAAAAAGGAGAGAAAAGGTGATCCTTGCCTATTTGCTGTGCCTTCCCTCATGGAGGAGGAGCTTCCTCAAGTGCTAGAATAACTCCTGCAATTTCTCTACTTTTCATTCTATGCTGGAGAAGGGAAGAAGACAAGTTCATCTCCACTTCCCCTAAATTCCTCAAGTTTTCTTCTGCAGCTTCCACCCCAGTCCTTTTGGGGCAAAACATTCATTCCATAGCTCTCCCCTAAGGACCCGCTCTTCTCCCATCCCCTCAAAGTGATCGAAATCTCTAAAGCATATTCTTATCCTTTCCTCCTTTGCTACTTACCAGCCCTTTCCTTAACACCTCTTCTGGCTTTGGGGCTTGCGACTTCTCTTTAGGCTGGCAATTCACATGGCCTTCTCCAGTCCCTACTCTGTTGCCTTTTGTAGGTGCCTTGGGTAAACTACCTTTTCACTTGGAAGTTTGTGTTCCTTTTTGAGGCTTACTTGTTTGGTTAGGCTACAAACTTCTGAGCTGAGGAGGTTGTGCACCCTCTTGTGGCCATGATGTACCATAGCCAGGGGTAGCTGCCTAGAATCTCCAAGCTCAAGTACAGCTTTACAGAAAACCTGCCCTTCGGTGCACAAACAGGCCTAGAGAGGGCAGAGATTTGCCCAGTGTCACCCATTGCAGATCCATGGCAAGGCCTGGGTTAGAGAACCCAGATTTCTTGCTTGTCTCCCCACAGTGCCATCACTTGGCCAGACTGTTCCCCCACCCCACTCAGTCAACACCACCCAAAGAACAGAAAGCAATTTTTCCCTGTTTTAATATTTGGGTTCTTAATCCCACCCTAGAAAGGCAGCTCAGTGTTTGGAGAAACCGCTATAGGCTCTGAGGAAAGAGAACCTTGGACCTCGACTGGGTAAAAGCTGTATGAATCTGGACTGCAGACATAAAAAAAAAAATCATCCTGCACAAGCCCTTTTCCTGGCGAGGGCCAGTAGGCCCAGACATTATGGAGGGAGAGCTCAGCATTTCAGACCCGGAGGTTAGAAGTGGGGTGGAGGTGGGGAGATTTGAGACTAGAAAATCCAGGTGGGTCCTGTGGAGTTGGGGAGCTCCGCAGGTCAGGGAGTGCAGTACAGTTGGATAGGCATAGCTGGACAAAGGCAGAGATGAGACTGCCCGGGGAAGCTGCAGAAACAATGCCCAGGAGGGTAAAGGGTAGTGCTGACAAGATGAGTCCCAAGGAGGTATGAGACCTTGGAAGTGGGCGAGGGTAGAGCCTGCATGTAGGATGGGGGGGTCAGGTTGAGCATTGGACTGACTGGAAGCCCAGTGGCAGCCTAGATGAGAAATGCTTGGGGCTTGTAGCCAACAGGCTCACTGTGTGCGTGGCTCCGGACACTACTTGGTGTTCAGTGACACCCAGTGAACGCATGGAAGAATGAATGTGTATAAACCCACAAAGAGATATGACTTGTTTTTTAAAACGTAGGTAATTAGGTCATAGTAGGCATTTAAATATTATTCTATTTAATTCTTAGCATCCCTATAAATAATGCATTATTAACAATATACTGTTGCTTAGATATTTGTCCGAGGTCAGATAGGTAATAAATCAACTAATAGGAACGTGGGTCAGTCTGGCTGCAGGGGCTTCCCAGAAGTCTCTGATTCCCCACTCCCAGTGTCACAGATGTTACTCCCCTAGGAGAACAGGTTATACTGCCTAGCAGCAGGGCCAGTATGCTAGTTTCCTACTGCTGCTATAGTGAATGATCACAAACTTACTGGCTTAAAACAACACAAATTTCGTGTACTACAGTTCTGGAGGTCAGAAGTCCAAAATCAGTTTCACTGGGCCAAATTAAAGTCAAGGTGTTGACTGGTCTGTATTCCTTCTGGAGACTCTAAGGGAGAATCCATTTCTTTGTCTTTTCTAGTTTCTAGAGTCTGCTTGCATTCCTTGGTTCATGGCCCTTTCCTCTATCTTCAAGGCAGCAGGATAGCATCTTCTCTCCTCTCTGACCTCTTCTTCCATTCACTCATCTTCTCTTTTTAATTTTCTCTTTTGAGGATTATGTTGTGATTACATATGCTTGTGATTATATTGGGCCCACAGGGATGATCTAGGATCATCTCCCCATATCCAGGTCCCTAATTTCACCTTCTCTTCAAAGTCCCTTTTGTCATAAAAGGTAAAATATTCATGGGTTTTGAGAATTAGAACATGAACATCTTTGGAGTAAGAACCATCATTCATCCTACCAAAGCAGAGATGGAGGGTGGACAGATGGTTGCACCCAGGCCCAGAATGAGCCTCTTTGCTTTGGCCAGCCTCCCTCAGCCTGGAGTGAAGTGATGGGAAGGTGGTGGCCAAGGGGAAGGCGGCCAGGTCCAGCCCCAAAGTCTGGAGAATGGCAAGTGCCTCTTGCATTATCACTACCAGGCAGAGCTGAGACTAACAGGAGAATTCTCAGTTTAGGGAATTTTCACGCTTGACACTCTCCTGGTGAACATGGTGGAAGGTTCCAGCAGGCTCTGTCTTTGACATTGCCTCTCTCCAGAACCATTCTGTGCAAGTCTGAAGATAATTACCAGCGAACAAGCCTGGGCTCTCTTTAGAAAGGATAGATTAACGAATCTCCTTTTTAAATTAGTATTTTTTATTCCTTAATAAGTTAAACCATGCTCCATAGCATGGTGAACTCATCCTCAGTTGGTATTAGGCCCCTTTATTGCTTTATTTTCTTCTTTTGATCTCTGATCCCTATTCTCATTCCTCTTCCTGACCTAGGCATATACTCTAATGTGTTTAGTATGTGTTTGGGTATGTTTGTATATTTAAAAAAAATAGATAATTGTACTCTTACATGTTTTAATATATATAAATGGTGTTCTTTTACAATAAGCTAACTCCCATAACACATTGCCCCATATTTCAGTGGTTTAACACAATAAAGATTTATTTTTCACTTACACAGGAGCACAGGTGTTCCTGCTTGGACAGCTCTCTTCCCCTGTCCATTTCAGGCCCCAACCTCCTTCCATTTTCAGTTGGTGATAGCCTGATTCTGAATCATAAAATTCCTGTTAACTTTTTAGCAAATTGTTTTAACATCCATTAATGACCATTTTATAAATTGGTTATTTCACTAGAGATTACAAAATGACACCTTTTCCAGTGATATTCTAAACATAAAAACTTTTTGACATCCTCTAGGATCATTTGGTTACCCTAAAATAAAGTTTATACTAGAATAGCAAGATGAATGCTTAAATCTCTTCCTTTATCTATCCCTTTTAAAGTAGTGAATGATCCCCTAGGAACTTGGTGTTCGATGATTTTGCTTGGTTCTCTCTTTAAATTATTGTGAATTTGTAGCTTTTAATATATTTAATGTCTTTTAATCATTTGCA